CACTGCACTTCGGTTAACTGGCATTTCAGTACGGCTGCCTTTAACGTCTTCGTTGAAGTCATCTGGACCGGTACCATCGTGAGCTGGCATGGTCTGAAATTGCCAGTGAACAAACAATCAACTCGAAGTTGCTGCCAAGTGTGTTGTGCGTGCCTACCTGGTGCACTCAAAGCTGTGTGCTCGCTGCAGGCCAACACTCCCGTCCCCCTTACTATTCGCAAGCTTCAAACAACCGAGCTTGTAACAGCCGCGGGCTGTTGATGTTTTTAATTACAGAAGGCGATTACGCTAATGATCGTTGTGCCGTGCGCCGCGTTCGTGGGCTGTCACCGGCGGCGGGCCATCTCCCGGCGGCGTCAGTCGTACATCGTGTGACGCAAGACGCGTGTCACTTTTGTGCTTCACACGCTGATTGATCACGGGCTCGGCCGCGTGCTTCCAGCGCCTGGAGGTCGTCTAATTACAATCGCCGCTAATAACTATGCGCAGGTACTTCTCGCGTTTCCCACCTGCCGTCATAGTCGCGTCAGAGAGGAGCCGGGTGAAGGTCCATGGGTCATTTGGTTGCCCACGACTTCTACAGATAAGGTGCGCTGTCGGGCACGCCGCATCACTTGCTATTGATGTCCCCGCGGGGGTTTTCTTTGACTACACTGCACGTTGGTAGCGTTTCGACACCAACAACTAGGTCCTTCCATCTAACAAGACCATACTTCTTCCGTGGTTTTGCCAAATGCTGTCTGATACTTGCAAAGCTGCTGTCCTTTACGTCCGCATTTTTGGCATTTCCGCCCTCACCTCAGTTGAATTTCTTCGCCTTTCGGTGCGTGAGAGGGTCATTTGTTCATCTTCAGTCGTTGTTTTTTTCAGCACAAGTACTTAGATCTTAGTTTTAAGTCCAAAAGTAGGGCTCGAAAGAACCATGCTAGCCAAGTCACTCATCAGTACACATTCCACATAGTTACATGCAGTGATGGCGCGGTTGCCGATTAATGGGGACGATATTAGTGATTCTGTGCACATGCTTCGTTACTGACGTGATATGAACGTTCCCGCCCATCTCACGCTTCATCTCGCTGTCTATATGTATTGCTCAGCATGACCAGGTCACACCAGTATCTCACCGCTCATACAGCACCGCTGTATTTCACGCCGCGCAGTCAGGCGAAACCGCGCCGGCCAAGGCTGACGCGGAGTGCCGGGCGTCGGGGCCTCGCGTCGGCTCGGATCGCTGCGCGCGCCGCTGTCTGCCGGTCGTCTGCGCTCAGCGCCGCCGGTTGTTTTGGTGACGTCACGCACGTCGCCGGGTCCGCCGATGGTGACATCCGATAGGCGGGCGCCACGCTCCGTCCGCGTACCAAGTGCGGCGCTGTTTGCGTTGCGGGACGACCCGCCGATGCTGGACGCGGCGTCGGATTTGGCGGCTGGCGCGACCAAGGACGCCGCCCCGTTCAATGCAGGCCGCGCGCAAGCGAAGCAAACATCTTCGGTCTGTCGTCTATTTCAAAAGTGCTATCTAAACCGGGATTGATGAACCCGCTGAAAGGGAGACTGGAAATTACCATACAATACCTGCCTTCAGTTTGCAAAGAAATATTTGGATAGAGCACCCCGGCGAATGACGACCAGCGCTGTGTTGTGGCTAAGTGCTGTTTCGCCTTTCAGAGTGTTACTTTCAGATGACGCCGTATGATCCACCCGCCTTGTGGTGGACGTAAAAGCCTGCAATGGCTGTTCTGCATCCGGCTGGGACAAGAAAACAGCCTTTCTAGCTGCTTTGGTGTGATCGAAATCAGCTACGTTTATCTGTGTAAAGCACTTTGCGCGGTGCATCGTTCTTTCCCATCACTTTTACGACACAAGTAGCTGGTATTGGTACCTGACCTGTGCATTACGCAGCGCGTGCAGCCGTCTGGTAAAACCGCGGTGCTTTACAGCCTAGCATGAGTTGGGTACACACATTAGAGTTGTTGGCCATTGACAGGTTACATGCATCACGCCTGATGCCATATATGACTTGTCAGCAGGTACATCAGACGCCGACCTCCGAACAACACACTGCCGAGCCGCCGACCCGACGGCCTGCCCTATCAGCTCCACTTATCATGGCGGCACTGCCGACCGGCTGCATGGGTGCGCTATCAGTTACCTGGGCGAATGGTCCACACGCCTGCACGGCCAAAGAGAAGTGCACGGAAAGATGCCAAGAAAATATTTTGCCTTAAGACCACGCGTGTTTATCCAAGCAAACCAAATTGTTCAAAACAGACGGTGTCCAAACGATGCGCACCTGGCTTGAATAGCCGACACGGAGACAGCGGACCACCGGACCCCAGACCGAAACTCTCGGCTACCGAGGCCGGGCGTCAGCGACGATGCGTGACGAGCCGGCCGTCTCCCCTCCTCCCGCCTCCTGTCGCCCCGCCGACAGGCCGGGCCACTCCCGGGCGACCGGCCGCCCGTCGGCACACGCGCCGTAAATTGGATCGAGACAAATTTGGCGCGGGGGCCGGTGTCGCGTGCGATACCGATCAGTGATGCATTGGCGGCGCGGCGAGAGGGCGCCGCCCACGCACCGGCGTCGGTAAAAACGGCCCGTCGGTGCGTGTTGACGCCTCGGCCGGATAGATCACCGTGCCGACAGCTCCATTTCTCTGCTGCGGCTGCTGGGCCGGCTGCTGGGCCCAGCGCCGGGCGCGACGGCGCGTCTGATGTGGTCGTCAGAGGAGCAGGGCAGAGACGGGCACCAGCCGCCACTGTGGTGGCCAGGCACAGCCGCGCAGCGTCCGCCGTAGCGCAGGAGTCGGTGGTTCGCACCTCGCGGCGGCGCGCGGCGGGCGGCGAGCTGGGGTGGCTGGCGGTTTTGAGCTACGGTGCCGTGTTTGCTAGGGATGTGCCAGAGTTGAAGTCTGCAGAAACTGCAACGTTGGACGGGGCGGTAACGAGCATGGAAGTGTGAGGATGAGCTCAGGATATAAAATGTTGCTACGCAGTTTGCATCGTGATATACGCTCGGAGCTTTGCTGCCTTCTTGTAGCAGCCAAGCTCTGTGTTTCCATTCCATTGTTGTCTCCCTGACTGCGCAACGGACGCTGAGATTCGACCCCGGCTCACTTTCTCGAGACAAGCGATCGTGGTTTGATTAACTAAAGGTGAGGGGAAACGAAGCAAACCACTCGAGCTATGATACCGGCTGCGGTGACTTCGCGAACGGGAACCACAATAACATGCTAAAACAACTGTTTGTGGAGAAGAATCATGTTATTTTCATTCTTTTTGCAGTGCAGGTTCTGCTCGTCTTAATTTTGCATAGCAAAATTTCGTTGATAACCATTTACCTATAATATACGTCGCTGAGCGAATTGGTAACAAACTATTAGGCCTCATACGCATGCATGATGTGCATGGCATCCCGCTCTTGGATAAGATACCATCTGCCGTCCCGCAGCTGTAGTCACAGAAGGACTGGAATCTGACCCAGGCCGGCCTGACCATGAGTAATGACTGATGGAGCCGATGGGCGTCCGCACAGCTCGGCTCGTCGCATGGCGGACGTTACGCCGCAGCCGGATGTTGCCGGAGTGTGCCTCCACCACAGTGAGGCGACCGTGACCCGACTGACCCAAATCAAGTGCATTCCTGTGTAGGGTAAGTGTACAAAAGGAACCTCCCGACAAATACGCTTTGTCACTGCTTTGATGAAGCACACGTTGCCGCAGCCGGTTCAAGCTGTGTCCCAATTCCATGGTAGGCCAATGCTCTCATGGTTATTCATTAATTTGCATTTAAAAAGCGCGTTGTCAAGATCAGGACGACCTGCTTGTGAGCATTGTGCCACATGACAAAGTGCAGCTTTATTTCCTGTGCCGTCTGCGCCCCGTTCCCAAATATTCCGCCCAAGGGCCACCTCTTCGGGGCGGCCTCTGACCCAGCGATGGTTTGCGGGGCCTGCTGATAGGCTGTGAGACCTGCCGGTGATCTGAAGGGGAGGGGGGGGGGGGGAGCGACGGAGCCTGCTCCGGAGCGCCTGGTAGGTGACGGCCCCGGGATGGCCTCCGAGCCTCAGCAGCCGGCGGGGTCTGCCGGTTTTTGCCACCGCCCCTGACGGCTCCGGCTGCTGTCGGCGCACTGCCGGCCGGGCGCCTGGTCGGCATTTGTATGCCCGTGTCGCGCGCCGCTGACCCAGTTCATCGCCGGCGCCAGGGTCAGCCAACACAGCACCTCCATTGTGACGGGGGGGGGGGGGCGACTCAAAAGAGGTGCCACGCCCGATCCCGCCTTCCCTATCTCCGCTGAGGACTGACTCTCCGGAGACTCGTCAGGAGCAGAGTCAGAGCTCCGAACTTCTGCGCCCTCCCTATCTCCGCTGAGGACTGACTCTCCGGAGGCTCGTCAGGAGCAGAGTCAGAGCTCCGAACTTCTGCGCCCTCCCTATCTCCGCTGAGGACTGACTCTCCGGAGGCTCGTCAGGAGCAGAGTCAGAGCTCCGAACTTCTGCGCCCTCCCTATCTGGCGCCCTCCCTATCTCCGCTGAGGACTGATTCTCCGGAGACTCGTCAAGAGCAGAGTCGGAGCTCCGAACTTCTGCGCCCTCCCTATCTCCGCTGAGGACTGATCTCCGGAGGCTCGTCAGGAGCAGAGTCAGAGCTCCGAACTTCTGCACCCTCCCTGTTTCGGGAAACGCCGCTGGATTCGCATTACTCCCTGGGTGGCCGCTCCGACACAGCTCAAAAGTTGCGACGTGCAAACAGAGCATCTCCGGGACAGAAGACCAGCCACCTGGTCTCGGTAGCGCGCACCCACCTGTCACGATGACCTTGTTGGTTTTTAGCGTGTCGGGGGATCAAGTCAGCTCACTGGCTACAACAAGGTCTAGTTCTTCTTATCTTTATTGCGCCAGTGGTTTGGCGTCTTTTAATAGCTTGGCGGCCTCGGTGGTCTATAACTCAAGACTTCAGGTCCGCGGCCCTGGCGAATCTCTTTCCATACGATCTCCTCAGTCATCTCCTGCGCCGCGGCCGTGCTCGAGGTGTGCCCGACCGTGCTCAAGGCGTGCCCGACCGTGCTCGAGGCGTCCCCGGCCGTGCTCAAGACATACCCGGCCGTGTTCGAGGCGTGCCGGCCGTGTTCGAGGCATGCCCGGTCGTGCTCGAGACGTACCCGGCCGTGTTCGAGGCGTGCCGGCCGTGTTCGAGGCGTGCCGGCCGTGTTCGAGGCATGCCCGGTCGTGCTCGAGACATACCCTGCCGTGTTCGAGGCGTGCCGGCCGTGTTCGAGGCGTGCCCGGCCGTGCTTGAGACGTGCCCGGCCGTGTTCAAGGCGTGTCGGCCGTGTTCGAGTCGTGCCAGGTCGTGCTCGAGGTGCGCTGGGCAGTGCCGGATGCAGTGATGGGGGGGGGGGGGGGTTCTGAGATCACCACTGGGCGTGATTGACGGTACTGATCGGCACTGCAGGGGCCCGGCCCACGCCACTGACGGCGGTCCGCTCAGCCATACGGCGAGCGGCTGAGCCAGGGGATGAGGTGCGCCCGCCCAGTGTCAGACCAGGTGACAGCGCTTACACGCCGGGCTGCTCAGGGGCGGGCGGGGCTTGTCCAGTGCCACTCGTGGTCACGTATGCTTGGACCTCGGCGGAGGTAATCAGCTTTTCCGTGCAAGTTCTGGTCTTACCGACCGATGCATGCTACTTAATGGTACATCTTAAGACATTCCTATGCATAGGGACTTTCACATTACATACTGGTTCATTACTAATCCAGCATAACCAGACAGCCAGGAGACCGAGTTTGAAACGTTCCCTGGTTTCCTTCTGTGCTCTCGCGCCGGCTTGTTTCCCACCTACCCTGGGTCCGAGCCGGGCCGGGTGCGACCTCCGCCTCCCTGGAGCCGCCTATGGACACCCTCCGTCGACCGTCACCGCCCTGGAGCCGCCTCTGGACGTCCTCGCCGACCGTCGCCGCCCTGGAGCCGCCTCTGGACGCCCTCGTCGACCTGTCGCCGCCCTGGAGCCGCCTCTGGACGCCCTCGCCGACCGCCACGTTGTGCAACCGGGCCGCGTTAGTGGTGTCGGTGTTTGTCGGGCTCGGCCGTGACGGCCGGCACCTGTTGACGAGCTTGCCCGCGTGGGACAGTTGACACCCTGGCGCGGCCGCGCGCTGGGCCGGGGCGCGGCCGCGTCCGACAGGGGCCGCCCGTGACCTGGGTGGTGCGCGGGGAGTGGGGTCGACACGAGGCGGGCAAGGAAGACTTGGCTGCCTCCTATGTCACGGTTCGCACGTCGCCCAGATTACGGTGCAGAGGAATGCAGCGAAACTGGAATTGATTGCCTGGCAGGCTGGTGTCTGAGTTCAAGAACCTGAGTGCGATGTCGACTCCGAGTCGGATGGCTTTCATAGCTCAAGATTTTTGGTCGAAGTTTGAGTCCTTGGGAAGAAGCCCGAGTCCGAGTCTTAAGAAAAATATGTGTTCGGTTCAAATCCAAAGTCCTTGGTGATGGTGAAGTTTTCGAGACCACATCTTTTTTGGTAAATAACTTTTGTTAAACCCGTTGGAAAAGGACAAGCTACCCACCCGGGGTAAGTTGTACCACACGCAGGGGGAACCTATGCCTGTTTTTTCTCATAAAGCAGGCTGCATCGCAGGCAAGCTGAAAGCTTTACGACATGCTGGCCAAATGAACTCGTCTCTGCTTTTTTATTATGAGACATATTCATTGCACATTCATTTATTTGTACCGTGATTCAGTTCACTCGAGTGAGACGTCAGGAAGGTCTTGAGCTCGAATTCGAGTCCGGCCGGCAACACGCCCAGTGTGGGGCTTAGTTTTGGGTACCAGTGGATATGGGATTTACTAGTGGATACCATGAAAGCCCAGATATGGCGTCATATGACCGCCTCCGAGACCACGCTCCTCCCATCATCTGCCGCTAAGCGTGTCCACGAACCGCCTCCGAGACCACGCTCCTCCCATCATCTGCCGCTATCCCATCATCTGCCGCTAAGCGTGTCCACGGACCGCCTCCGAGACCACGCTCCTCCCATCATCTGCCGCTAAGCGTGTCCACGGACCGCCTCCGAGACCGCGCTCCTCCCAGCAGCTGCTGCTAAGCGCGTCCACGGACCGCCTCCGAGACCGCGCTCCTCCCAGCAGCTGCTGCTAAGCGCGTCCACGGACCGCCTCCGAGACCACGCTCCTCCCAGCAGCTGCTGCTATGCGCGTCCACGGAACGCCTTCGGTAGGCGCTGTCGTCGGCTGTGACTTCAGCGGCCCGCTGTAAAGAATCGCGTCTTCGCTGCTAACTGGAAAAGATCAGCGCATTGTTTTACATCTTCAACGATAATTAGTAGCCGCTATTCATAAATACAACCCGATTAAAAGCCGCTAAGTGTAGTTTTGCTGCTCTATTACGACATGCGCGTTCATTTAAATTAGGCGATCGGCACTCATGAGTCAGTTACCCTGTAATTAAGGTAACAGCCGTCTCTTCCAGCAGAAACGTTCGTAGTGTCTGAGCGGTTTCATAACAAATTGGCAATGCCTGATCGTATTTAACGAATATTTATGCACGGCTATTCCAATTATCTAAAGTCATAATACGTGATACTCGCATTTGACGAGGCTAACATAAGGTTTATCTCGAAACCATGCTACAAACGACGCACGGCTTTTGAACAAGCCATATTGCGCTTTGTAAAACGTGATTCGGGGATATGGAAATCGTCCGAATCGTGACGTGAGGGTGGCTACATATTTTGTTCTTGCCGGCCGCCGGCCGCCCGTGCTCCCTACGGTGACCTGGGGGTATGGGACGGGCGACCGAGGCCGGGTCGCACCGGCCGCCGGCCGCCCGTGCTCCCTACGGTGACCTGGGGGTGTGGGACGGGCGACCGAGGCCGGGTCGCGCCGGTCGCCGGCCGCCCGTGCTCCCTACGGTGACCTGGGGGTGCGGGACGGGCGACCGAGGCCGGGTCGCGCCGGCAGCCGTCGTCCGGTGTTGCGTAAGGCCGGTCCCAGATGGCGCCGGGGAGATCGGAGGTTACGCCACGTCCGCCAGCCATGCCCTCTCGTCTCCCGCCAGCCCTGGAACGGCGCGCTGGGTAGGCCGCATTTAATGATGGAAACTCCAATGTGTTCGTTTGGTCTACGTGCAGTGTACTGGTCATGTTCTGAGGTCAAAATATCGAGCTTATAACGGCGCAGTTTAGGTCTGAGTCAGGCGGAGCTTAGACTTAATTCCGGATGAATGAACTTTTTGAACTTGAGCTCACGTGAATCGACTTATATTACAGCTGATTCGGACTCCGGCACGGGCTCAATTTCAAGAGAACAGCGCGTTTGAACTGACACTCAGACCTAAACCAAAACAAGCGTGATTCAGGCTCGAGCATAGTTTCAGGAGTCCTTAGGCTCGAAATCGTCCTTCGACTGAAGCGAATGGGATGAATGTTACAGACAGCTAGGCTTGTGGAATATGAACAGATATTTCCGCATCGAATGGCCGAGGCTGTCAGTTCGGGCGAATCGGGATGGGTTCGGTGTTTCCAGTTGGACTTGATAAGCTCCACATTGTCGGGGTCTTGCCGCGTAGGGTATGTCCAGGTTTGGCACTGGCTTAGCCCTTTGCATGGATCAGTCATTCAGAGATAACAGTTCAGGTGCCCAGCTAGGCGCCAGATTGGGTCACATAAGAGGATAAGTTAATGCCGGCTTGCGTTAGGCTTACAACTCATTATGCGTTTTATCCTTGAGATTCTGGATGTCCTGATGATGTCATGCGAGCACTTTCCTCGCTCCGTATAATCCCTAACGAATGGATTTTGACTCAAGACGTTGGCACCCAGATTTGTGCTCGTACTCAGCATTCAGGGCACTGAGACCGAATGCTGTGAAAGCGAATAGACTCGGGCCCGGACCAAGGGTCTCAGAACCTGGACCCGGGATCCAGACTCAGGGCAGGCGAACATTCAAGACTCTAGCTCAGACTCAAAGTGCTAGGACTGGGTTTGCACAAGAACCAGAGTTTTTACCCTGAACCACGTCTGCTGAGGACTGCGGTCTTCAGCATTGTGGCGACACTCGATGATGGCTGGATGACACGGGCCGTTAATAGTCGACTTGTCACCTAATGACGACACCGAAATTGGAGGGAGAAAGTGGCGAACGTGACCCGTTTTGCCCGATCATCATTATAACATCCAGTTCGTCCCTGCGGCCTGCGTCTATCCTCGGGCGTTGGTCCTGTCCCAATGGTGGGCGCCCTCTCCGACCCGAAGCGGCATGCTCGCACGGGACTACCGCAATGCCCACGTCACTTACGGACATGCCGTCAACTGGTTTTGACAGGCACTAGAGACCTAAAAACCAGCACTGCACAGCACATGGCCTTGCTGTGGCCTCAGTGCAGCCCGGGGCAATGGTTGTGAGGTCGGGACGCGCGCTCTGGCGGCGCCGCCGCATCGTCCAGCCGACCTCCGCCGCTTCCCAGAAGGTGGCGGCCCGGCGCGCCGCCCGCTCCGGTCTGAGGCGTCGGTGACCTTGGCGTTGTGGTCCTGATTTCTGGGTCAACCGGCAGTCATTAGTGTGTGTCCGTATCTGCCAGAGGAGCGGCGGGTCACGGCCCACGTGCGGCAGACGGGCGCGGCTCGCTGTCTGGAGTGGCGCCGGATCCAGTACTGTCCACACCTCCGGCCCCGCTTTAGGCTCCGTCTCGCTGTCTGTCTATCCGGATACTGCCAGATTGTTGTACATTCACCAGCTGGCATCAGTCCAGCTTATACTCAGATCCTATGCACAGCCCGTCCCACTCACACATGGCTACTGTCGAGATCCAGTCCCGCCCTCACTCGGCTACTGTCCAGGCCCAGTCCCGCCCACATTCTGCTGCTGTCAGGGCCCAGTCCCGCCCTCCCTCGGCTGCTGTCCAGGCCCAGTCCCGCCCTCACTCGGCTACTGTCAAGGCCCAGTCCCGCCCTCCCTCGGCTGCTGTCAAGGCCCAGTCCCGCCCTCACTCGGCTACTGTCCAGGCCCAGTCCGCCCACACTCGGCTACTGTCCAGGCCCAGTCCCGCCCACACTCTGCTGCTGTCAAGGCCCAGTCCCGCCCATCACTCGGCTACTGTCAAGGCCCAGTTCCCGCCCACACTCGGCTACTGTCCAGGCCCAGTCCCGCTCACACTTGGCTTCTGTTCAGATCCAGTTCCGCCCACACTCAGCTACCGTCCAGGCCCAGTCCCGCTCACACTTGGCTTCTGTTCAAATCCAGTCCCGCCCTCACTCGGCTACTGTCCAGGTCCAGTCCAGCCACACTTGGCTGCTGTTCAGACCCAGTCCCTGTCCAGTTACTGTTCAGATCCTGTCCAGCC